AAGATGATTGTTCTGACCTGCAGGAACAGTGCGGGCCTTTGCTCTGACTGGAGTCCTTCCATGAGGAGGAAACAGCTGGAGAGGGATCCGAGAACAGCTGTCCACCATATGGGGTCACGCAGCATTCAGAAAAGGGTTGAGCGTTTGAATTTGGGACTGAGAACAGCTACAGAATTGCTTCATTTCAAGGTTCCTAACAGTACCCTGCCCACAGTGACTGGGTGAGATCAGCCACAGACAGGCAGCAGGCAGAAAAGAGACTCACTGCGGGTTGAGCTCAGGCCAGGAAGGAGACAGACCCTGCTCACCATAGCCTGGGGTCAGGCCGGGCTTGAGTTGCTCTGGGTTTGAAAGTCTCAGCACTGAATAGTGGAGCCTTTGCCCTAATTCCTGCATCCAGCCCAGATCTTGGACCTGACTGTTCCCCTATCTACTAGTGAGAGCAGGGACACACTTTGGATTGGACACTGCCTCAGCCTTGGTACACAGACAAGTGTCCTGGAACGGGAGCGAGGGCCCAAAAAACCACAGTCCTTAAGGCTAGGCAGAGAAAACTGAGAACTGTGACTCCGAAACTGCAGATTCTGGAAGGAAACCACTCATTCAAAAACACACATTTTGGACTTTTGGTTGTGCTTTTTCTCTCCTTTCCTCTTCCTTCTTCACTGGTTTACTGGGGTGTAGGGAATTTTCCTTTTGTTGGGAGCCGCTCGAGTTTGTCATGTATGTGAAGGTGGGACAGATCCAGAGTGCCTCAGGCAGTCAAGCTACCTCAGTATTGAAAAAAAGTATCCTGCTTGGACAATTATAGTCTTAGTCGCTAGGCAACATTCTCTCTCATGATACAACTTTGCAAGTGTATAAAATAAATGCCCCTACTGTTGAGGTCAGTCCTCATGCTCATCAGGCAAGAGGTAACTCCACCTGACCCCAGCTGTTGTCTTTATTTTCTAAATCCTCTCACCGTTTTCTCCCGGGGACCATGGAGAGACCACTGACTCCCACATCCTTTGTCCTTTTCACTTGGTTTTAATGTTTATTCTTTTTCTCTTCTAGTTTTTACTATATAGTAAGTCCTCAGCTTGCAAAGGAGTTCCATTTTGAGAGTATGTTCATAAGTGGGATTCATTCGTAAGCCTGACAAAGTGAGTTTTATACACCTACGACACAAATACACAATGTATACTGCTTTGTGCTTCCTAGCATCCCCCTCCACATCACCACTGCTCTTCCTCTTGCTTCCAGACTGATTTCAAATCTAAATTCCAGTCTTATCTTGAAGATGCCTTTAAGCCATCAAGAGAATGAGATGGCTGCAGACAATGCCTTGGGCTTTCCATTACATGACTGGTCACATCACTCAACTTACCCAGGAATATGAGAAACCCCCTGGGGCTGGGATGGAGTTCAGCAGACCCTGGGCTCAACCTCCAGTCCCTACCCACCCTCCCACAAAAGTAAAGAAACCTCTCGCTCATACGGGGTAATTCCTACTTTGGCCTTATTAACCCAGATTAATTCACTATTAATCCACTCGATTAACTTCCATTTTCTCAAAAGATGAACACTGAGTAATCTAGAGCTCAAGAAAGATGTCAAGGTATGAGGCAGTGTAATGATGGTAATACAAATATGAAATTTAAGGTGTCTCAGGCAAGGTGGGTAAAGTGAGAACACACAACATAATCCCCATAAACCCCAGTATTTTATATATTTCCAAAAACTAGCACCGTTACTCACAAGCCAGATGCTAAGAATGGAGAGGGAAAAAAAGATGCCTATCAAGTGGGACAAATGAAGAGAAGGGTTAGTTCACTTGGATTGACAGAAAGGGGTGTAGTTAGCTGAGTGCTAACTTTCCAACATTTGGTGAATACTTTTCATTCATCACTTCCCTCGTTTCTCAAAAAGTGGATCTTGACCTTCCTATTTTGAAGCAATGACAGAAAAGAGATGGAAGTTGTGAAGTGTTCTCAACAAGTTTCTGAAGACAAAGCAGATGTGCCATCACTGAACTGGCCAGGAAACTGCTGCAATCCGAAGGAACTGAAGAGGGGTATGAGGGAGAAGTACGGTATCCCAACAGCTCCAAACCACTGGGAGGCTCAAGTTTTGAAGTGAAGGTGACAGCACAGTGCAACCAGGGAAAGGCCTGTAAAAAAACAGCTAGGCGCTGTGCCCAACAGGAAGGTCGAATCTCTCTGACCTCTGCCTCCCTCTCAGCCACAGATAATCTCCCACATTCAATCCTATTTACCACAGAGAGAAGAAAAAAGGACTTTTATCTGGAGGAATTAATGCGAGACAACTAGGGGAAGGGACATGGAGAAAGACAAGGGAAATATTTGTTAAATACAAATCAGGAGGTGAGGTGGACAAGAAAACAGATCCTCTCTCAACAACCCTCCTTTGGCAGATGATTCTCCCCTAGAGAATCTAAAATATCCCAGCGAAAAGGCCGCTACTCAAAGGATAGGTCCCTATCACTCATCCCTAGTGCGTGCCTCACAAAGTGTGCTCTATATATGAATGCTGACCTGTCAACTATTTATCACTTGTCTAAGCTTTGTATCACAAAGCAAGTAAAAAACAAGTAATCTGGCAAATGGCACTGTGCCAGTGAAATCTCACTTTGTGAGGCACTGCCCACAAGCATAGAACTTTCAAGTACTCTTTCGGGACCTATCAGATTATCAAGACTTGCCAGAAATATAAGGTAAGTATCAAGATGAACAAAGGAAAAAAAACAGACTAATTAAGAATAGTAATAAAAGCTGGGTATGGTGGTGCATGCCTGTAATACCAGCATTTGGAAGGCTGAGACAGGATTGCCTCGAGTTTTAGAGCAGTCTGAACTACACAGTGACTCAAAGCCCAGCTGACTCTACACAGGGAGACCCTGTCTCCAAAAAAAAAAAAAAAAAAAGTACAAAATGTGTTAACAAATTAGGAAACAAAAGAAACAGTATATACCCATCCATAAACATTGTCAAAAAAATAAGATAGTCTATCTATGAATCAACTAGGATACTGTGGAAACAGAAAAAGAAATAAAATATCTTAGAAATTAAAATACTTTTAGGCCAGGTATGGTGGTTCATGCCTGTAATCCCAGCATTCAGGAGGCTGGGGCAGGAGGATCACTGGGAGTATGAGGACAGCTAGGCTGCATAGTAAGTTCAAGGCCAGCCTGAACTCTAAATGACATGGTGAGACCTTGTCTCAAAAAACAAAAACAAAAAACGTAAAGTAATTAAAATATTTTTAAAAATCTATTAATTCAATAGAGGGAAGACAATGTAGGAAGATCAAATTGAAGAATTCTAGAAAGAAGAGAGAGAATAGCATGCAAACAACCAGAGAAAAAAGAGAAGAAACCAGGCACCAATCCAGGAGGCCCAGTCTCCAAGATCTCAGAAGCAGGAACGGAAGTGAGAAAGGAGGGCAGCAATACCTTCAAAACTTCGGAAGAAAACTTTTCTATCGATGAAATGTGAGGGAGCAAAAAGGCATTAGGCACAGAAGAACTCAGAAAATTTACCTTTCCTATACCTATTTCTAAGGCAGCTGTACGTATTTCAAGAGGGCACAGCAAATGAGCGGGTAAATCAGAGGACACAATATGCAAGGGTGACAGCAAAGGCTGGGAGATAATCAGCTTTGCAGCAGGCCGAGAGCTGCAGAACAGACCTTGCTAGTGAAAACACGGACATTATTACCTGTTACTTGGGCACAAAAACCCTTCAAGGCTAGTGATGTTGGGCCCAATGGAGAACTGGGAAAAGTTTTAAGTCAGGTTTGCAGAAAACTATCTAAGTGTTAAGAGCGAGACAATTATTATTACCAGGAAAAATAAAATTACACATAAAAATGTAATCATGGTACAGTCTGCTCTAGAATACACATTTTATAGTCATCAACACTAAGCTATTATTAGGATGTAACTACATACCAGGAGAAGGTGAGATATATGTGTTAGACCTAAACCATCTTGTAGCATTGTCCAAAAGACTAACAGTGTTCAAAGCTTAAAAATGGACAAGAGTTGAATGGGTATATTATTGAGATCAACCATGCCGAATAATATAAACTCTGGGGTCAAAGCGATGGTCTGGGAAGGAAAGGGAAGTTCAGGCAGGGAAGAGTGTTTTTAATCATAAAGCCTTTAGAACTTTGCTATTTCATCTCAAAATTGTGTACCCATATTTGACATTTTAGAGATAAATACAAGTAAATAAAGTTGCCACCATCTCATTTGTTTTTAAACAACATTGTGTATTTATTTTGAAATTTCAATTGACATTAGGAGAAATGTGCTTTTGTATTTACTGAAAGATGCATGGGCTAACAAATGGTTTTAAAACACTTTTCCAGATCACCCAAACTCTACCACACACATTTATGTGAATCAAACTTTTTTTTTTTTTTTTCCTGGTACTGGGAATTGAACTCACAACCTCGCGCATGCCAGGCAGGCGCTGTGCCGCAGAGCTAAATCCCCAGCCCCCAAATCAAACATCTTATTTCTTCCACCATGCCCCCAAAATTGCCATGTTTGTAAAGAACAAAATTTTATAATGTAACAAACAAAGAAGTGCCATGCGATAATTCTAAGGCAGTATTTCCCTGAAGAGGCAGCAGCAGGTCGAGTAGCATTCATTAGCCCTAACCGCTCAGCCTCTCCTTACTGGTCAGCCTTTTCATTTCCTGCGTGCCTGTTTACCCAATGTTTCCCTGGATGTAATACCTTAGCCAGTCTGTCTGTAACTTAGATAACAGAATAACCACTTCTGTAAGTACAGATTTCCCTCAGTGACATATGTATCCTGTGATTTATACAAATATAATAATTTAATAATGGATAGAATTTTATTAAATCTAAGCCTGAAGAAGTTAAAACCCAGACTCACTAACCGTGGCTTAAAGTTGAACGGTAAAAAAATATCAGCAGCAACACCGGAACACCGTTATTTTAGCAAGACATTTCAATACAGCAAAACTAATTTTGTTCATTTTTATTAATACAGAGCATACCAATAGACTATTATTTTTAATATAGTCAAGGTTACAAACTCCATCACTATCCAATAAATAATATCTACTTGAGTCTTCTTTGGTTGAATGATTCTCTGACAGGTAGTGCAGTTATTTTTTCCCACTTACTCATAAACAGCCTTATGAATACAATGAAATTTCTTAGCTTTTACTTACTGAATAATTCCTTCAGTAGGGAAACTTTTCATGTCCAAATACTTCCCTACAAATTAATGTATTTTTCTAAGTCTTCTACTTAATCTTGTGGTCTTGAAATGTTATAAGATTCTTTGAAATTTGCATGACATCAGTATTTCCAAAATGCAAGCAAAGGCCTGTAGGAGAGAAAACTTTTCCCTCCCCCTTGTTTCACAGGGGCCATTTGACTATCCCATTTTCTTTATATTTAACAAGAGGAATCCCTTATACTTCACATGACAGGAGACCTCAGACCCATCAATATACTTGTGAGACAGATAAAATTCCAGTTATACTTTAAGATTCCATCTTCTCAGCTAGGTGAAAATGTCGAACTGTTCCTTTAGCAATAACCGTGGTCCCCCAGTTTAAAAAAAAACAAAAAGACTCAGGACAGAAGACCTCCTGAAACAGCACAAACTTAATCTGGAAAGAGTGAAGAAATCCCTGTTCCTCCTGATGTGCCAGAAAATAAGACTGCCATGTGCAGGAAGGAGAACTTTCAGATAAACAGCATTCTGAAGGGCTGGCCAAACAAAGAACGCATCTAGGTAAGGAATACTCTCCACATCTGAGGAGAACCACACACCAATTAACTCATGCAAGTAATGTTTTTAGCGTAAATGTCACTATGAATTACAAGTGTCTTAAGTAAATTTCATATGTTATACAAAACTTAGTAAGTGTGGCACATTTCTATAACGGTTACATTATGTTTTATTTCTTAAAAAACCATATATTAATCAAAACTGATACATTACCCAGACCTTCTGATTTCAAATATACTAAAGAAAATTATTATAAACCCTGAATAACAGGCATCCTTTTACATAAACATGTTATTTTAGTAAAAATAAGATGCAAGTCACCTCTGATCCATACATACATTTTCATGTATATAGAAAAATTAAGTTTACACTTACTTCAAGAATAGTTTCACAGCAAACAAATACGGCATTTATTCAATATGCAATATTAAAATAATTCTGGTTAGTAAATAACTTCAATCATATTTATATAATAATTTATCATGTACATATTCCCAAATCCCCAGAACTTAAGTAGAAAAGTTACAGAACATCTCCTTAAAGTGTGTCTTGGAAAATCAACCAAAACCACTGATAATTAACTGAAGAGAATGTGTACACACATCCATGTTTGACCCGTGTGCAAAAAACTCAAGGAAATACAGAGGAAATTAAAGTTCCAAAATTTTCTGAAATACAGTGTTAGCACTTGAGTCAAAACACTTACCTGCCAAGTGAGGAGAGCTTGAGGTACTTCCAATGCTGCAGTAAGTTTCTGGATGTTAAACACCACAAGAATGAAAACAGACTCCTCTGGCCACAGACCTCTACTTTATAGTGGAGGCCGAGGATAAAAGTCTGCCAAGGAGTCTGCATCTCACCTTATTCTTTTCCCTTATAAAACGTAAGCTCCAGGGGAAATGACCACAAGAGAGACATTTCAACTGAGTTGGGGCTCCTGAGTGCAATGTTTTAACAAGTGAAAAGGGGAAATTTCAATTCTGTCCAGGACACACCTGTCCTTTTTAGACGTGAGCATTACTTTCCATGCCCTTTGAAATCAAAGCTGAGCCTGACCAATAAACTAGAACAGACTAACGCAATACATGAACCACCTAAATGAAGTACTTTATGCCTTTACATGTGACACATGAAAATGAAGACATGTTTTATTGGATTTGGTCTTTCTCCATTTTTGTGACTCTGAATCTGAGATGTTAGTACGTGACTGCACTCATACATCTTTTTTTTTTTTTTGAGATAGGGTCACAGTATGTAGTGCAGGCCGGCTGTGAATCCACAGTGATCCTCCTGCCTCAACCTCCCAAGAGATGGGTTTACAGGTGTGCACCACCATACCTGGCAACACATGCACCTTACAATCCCTTTCATCACACAACAGGCACACATGCACAGTATCATATGTCCATATAATACTATCGACACAGCATCAGCATTTAAGCAATAGATGCATTTCACATGAAAGAAGCGCTATGCATTCTGTGCACAGTTCCAGTAAGAAGCAAACATTAAAATGCAAGCTTAGCTTAGTTTCAGCACTGGTATGGACATAGCTAAATGTTACACCCATCATCTATTTGTGTAAGTCATCCACAGGGAAGAAGCGAAGGACAAAGGCTGCTTTTTAAAAAAAGTTTTATGTGCCAACCTCAAAACGCCATTGTGTCCGCGGTGTTACTACTGTTTCTATATTTATGATTAATCACTAGCAGAACAACTCCCAGAAGGAAAGAGATGGATCCCACGGTGATGTAAGCAATCCCCAAAAATGGATTTTTTCCTCCCATCCATGAAATAGTGCTCAGGATCATCCGTTTCCGTCCATCAAAAGAATGTACAGGGTAATCTGAGGAGGGTATAGGAAGATTTTTTTTTTCCATTTCTGGTCACTTAATGTTTAAAATATAAATTTTAAAGTTGCCATTCAACTGCTTATAGTTCACTTGTATAATTCCGTTGCACATAAGGACCGTATGTTCTGAATCACAAAATACACATTACTTTGAAAGGTTGATTGTTAGCAAATTAAATGTCAGCAGTGATACCAAAATATTCTACCAAAACAATAAAATTTAAGAGTAGTTTCTCAGGTGGTTTTGTTCTCATTTCATAGGAGGAGCAAAAACTTCAGAAGTATAATGCAGTGTATCATAACGCAGTACAATATATAATGCAGTATAATATACAATGCAGTGTGGAAAAATACTTCGGAGGAACAGCAACGAAGGCGACACAGGAAGGGCAGATGGAGAGAGCAGGAGAAAACAGAATTAAGAGAGGGGAGGCATCTGCAAGCTCAAAGAGTGCGCCTAACAAGGATGTGGCGAGGAGAGTGAGAGGCTCTGAACATGAGGCCCAAAAGCTCCAAGGACACAAGACGCCTTGTGCTGATTTGGGGTGATGATAAAATTCATGACATGACACAGTGCTGACGGCTGGGATACAGCAGAAGTGAGAGGTGGCTACAGAGGAGATTTAAGAAGAGGACCCCAGGAGCAGATGTATTTTCTACATGGATCTGTTCCAGGAGTCTGACAAGCAGGTACAGAGAGAACAGGATGAAGTTGCTATTGAAAAAGTACCATTTTTTCAAAAGCATTTTATAATTAAGTGCTGGGCTTCATCCACTTCTACAGTTTCTGCAACTCTGCACCCTCACAGATGGCGTTCTGTGACTGCAAATGGCAGGCTCGGCTCTACCAATGTCTTAATCCTTAATCTGAGGCAGGAATGACTTTAAGAACTCTACATAATCCAGCACTCTACGACCCAACACAGCATCAAATCACCCATGCTAGGCTCTCTGTGTCTTAACCCTGGAAAGATGGGCTTCTGCCATAATTCCAGTATCTAGTTCCTACTTTACACCTCATCTTATGGATGCTTGCAGGCCCAAGTCCTGTCAGTCTTCGAGAAACCCTGCATTCTTCCTGACAGTTCTCCTTCCGGGGCCCGGGACGCTGCTGTAGACTTCCTGCAGGCCAACTATCCGTCAGCTAAGAACTCCTGCTGCCCAGACTTCCTGCACTGTGCGCTGGAGGAGACGACAGGCTGGTGTCTGTCTTGATTCTTTTAGACCTGTCAGATGCTGTGGCAGAGCTGCCCTCTACTGGGGCTGCCTCTCAGGATGTCCTCTCTCTCAGTGCCTGAAGTGCGTCTGTGTGTCCAAAACTGCTCCTGCACGAGCCTTGTTTCAGACACCTGAGACTTTCACTCTGCCGCTCGCGGGCCATGTTCCCTTATGCACTCAGATATAACACCTAGGATGCCAAAATAATTGTTACTTCTCAAACTGGTCTACAAACTTAACCATTTACTAGCCCAATATAAAACCAAAAACTACATATTTATGGCTCATTTAGATTATGAAAAATAAAAGATGCAAAGATCATCAAATATTCATATGCTAATATTAGGCATCTTTTCATTTACAATACATAGTATATAAACAATGGAATAGCAATTAAAGGATGTATTTAGAACACAGGGAACAAAGTATTTCCCCACTGAAAAAGACTCTGCAGCTATGCAGGTGTAGACTGGTCTGATGACCTGAGTGAACTGGCGAGGGATGCAGCCTGTGGCGGTGGCTGAAGGGAAGGTCCTGGCCTTTGGAGTCAATACTCTGGTTTGAACCCCAACTCTTCTCATTATTACCTGCGAAATCAAGTCAGCCGCCTATAACATGAAGATGATACCTGCCTTGTTACTTACTGCTGCAATTAAACAATACATGGACAGTACCTACAACAGTGCTGAAATACAGTAAAAATGAAGTATCACTACAGAAAGTGAACCTGATTTACTAATGTAAAACGACATAGCTGATGATGAATTTTTTTGATACAATGAACAGATCCGTAAGTATGAACAATTATGTTGATATGAATTAAGACATCTGCTTGGGCTGTTTTTGCTTGGTGTTTTTGGAACAAGTCTCACTATGTAGTTCAGGCTGGCCTTGAACTTGGTTATGTAGCCCAGGCTGGCCTCAACCTCATGGTGAGCCTCTTGCTTCAGCCGCCGGAGTGCTGGCATTACAAGCGTGTGCCACCATGCCTAACTCCCACTGCTCATTTTTTGTGGGTTTTTTTTTTTCATTTTTGGATTTGACTAGACTTTTGTTTTTCAAAGATAGCTCCGTATTACATAGTCCACATTGGCCTTGAACTCATTACATAAGCTTAGGCTAGCCTTGAACTCAAACTCTTCCTGCCTCAGCCTCCTGTGTGCTGATATTTCTGGTATATACCACTGTGTCCAGCACATCTGATTTTTGACATTTAAAAATATATATTAAAAAAGCTTATGACCACCACCTATTTAGTACTAAGTACAATCACTGCCTTTGTGTTAAGCTCAGTTACAGTCTCTCTTATAAAAATCTCTAGCTTCTCAATAAACAAAGCGACCTACATTTTAAGTGATATGCTTAAAACCCTCGTACAACTATATACTAGAGTTTTAAGACCTTGAGACCTTCTTAGAAGAAACATTCCTACACACACACACGTACTTGTAAGAACGCAGGGAGCAAAACTAAAGCACAGAGTAACACACCACAGCACAGGGGTAACACAGCAGCAGATTCCTTTCAAGTTCAACGCTGCATACACAACCAAAAAAGGATACTGTATGTAATGTTCAAATAGTACTGTCCAGCTGGTAACGTTGGGTGTAAATCATTTGTCCGTTCTATGAGACGATACAGCTTTCGGAAAGTGGGCAACGCTGCAGTGCGCATCCACACGATGAAATCCTCATTGATGAAGCCATTGTTATCTTCGTCCAAATCCAGCGCGTACACTGGTTTAAGCCAGTTTACTGGCTTTGTTGTTCCTTAAAGGCAAGTGGGAAAGGGAAAAAGAAACGAAATATTCAGTTGTACTGCGTTTCAATGCAGTCACACTCTATGAATATAAAGAGGTGCTATATACAATGTGAACCTTTGGTACACATATATTTACGTTCTAAGGGATCTTAAAACCTGTGATACCAATTCCTTGTGTAATGAAAAAATTTACAAAGACTTGGTTGATATTTCAACTAAGAGACTACAAAAATGATAATATTCAGTATATACCAACAGGGAGATTACTTAGTACAAAAATGTAATGTTAAGAAATATTTACAAGCCAGCTGCAGAAGAACAGGCCTATTATCCAAGCACTCTGACAGGTTGAGGTACAAAAATGGCAAAAAAATTTTTTTAAAAGTGGAGATGTAGTGGGTTCAATCTACAATACTGCATCAAAAAAAAAGAAAAAAAGAAAAAAAAAATCACACTGGTAAATTAACGTAGCACCAAAACAAAAATGAATTTGTATTGTAAATAATAAAGGCTTGTTTAAAACAAATTTTGCAGCAAGATTATAGCGGAAATGCTTATAAGAAAACTCAAAAGAAATTGGATTCACAATTAAAAGTAAATATTTCTTTTAGTGTTTTAATACATCAGAACTTTCACTTAAATTGGCATGAAGTTAAGGAAAGAAAAAATTTTAAGACAAAATTTGTACTAAAGATAAAAAATTAAGACACTTCATTAAAGCATCTAGTTTTGATTTTTTTTTTTTTGTAAGGGATATGAGTAATTTTCACCTTTAAATCGTTCCTCCAGGGTTCCTCCTCCGGGAGGATTTCTGAATTTCACATGTTTATCTGTCCACCAAGCAATACCTTTCTTTTTCAAAACAATAGGCGTAGGTGTAGGATCAGATTCATTGGAGACCAGAAACAATTCCAATGTATCTAACAAGACAAAGGAAGTATTAGTTAACATGTGCTAAAAATCTACAACACCTGCTTTCTTCTATGAAAAAGTGAAACTGGTATTTGCTCCCCAAAGCAGTTGTGACAGAGAAGGTCCATGATTTACATCTGCTCTTTATTCAGATGTGAATCAGCTATGTTAACTTTCTAAGTCTAGGTGAATTCTCTTCCCTCAATGAAGACCTAAGTCACTTTCCTATGCAGCTAGTTAACGTGATATGCTCAAGGGCTTTAATATTTACCCAGGTAAAATTCAAAGGCAAATCTGCCTTTCTCTCTTCAAAAATGCATTCCTGATACCTCCTGGCATATTAATTTCTCTTTGCACACAGGCCCACATGGCTACTGAACCCTTGAAACGTGATGAGTACAAATTAACATGCTCTGTAAGTATGTAACACACATCAGGGACTTAGTATAAAAATGTAGTATTAATCGTAGTAACCTTCATGTACTATTACATACCAAAATGGTATTTCTGCCATATTGGGTTACAAAAATATTTTTATTAACATCAATTTCACTTGTTTCTTTTCAGGGTTTTTAATGTGACCAGTAGAAAATTCACTGTTTGGCTCATGTTTATGGCCCACACAGTTCCATCCAACTCCAATGATTAATGATATCCCCCTCTAACGGTGTCAGTAACCAAAGTCCGTGGGAATATAAGCCTGGCTTTCATTATACACGGGAACACAAGATTAGCAAAATATCTTTGCTTCTTTCTTCTCAGAAATAGAAATCTACTCTTAAATATAAGGATGCTCAAAGCATTATAAACCCCACTCCATACCTAACACTTAGAACTGTAAAGTTGAATTTCTCAGTTTCATTCGTGATTATTAGCCTATCCAATCTGGAGGAGATTGTACAAACTGTCCTAATTAGGTATGTCTGTGTCTGTTTCCATGTTTGTTTCTATATCATACCATTAAACATGCTGTTGGCAATAGCTCCACAAGGAGCAATGGGTAGGTCTTCATTTCTTCTATAAGGCTCACATTCCTTACTGGGATTCTGGTTTTTAGAGGAAAAAAAGATATATTATTACCTAAGACTCTGTAAACTGAATCATCCCTTGACTTAAACTTCAACCCCTGGCTTTAATAAACGCAAAATGAGTCTGTAATGAAAGCTGGCTATAAGTAACATGACACTGAAATACTCAAAATATTCTCCCTCTAATGCAACTTGCAATATTACCAAATTAGTATTTCTTGGATGTTGAAATTAACGCAGAAACCACAAAACATTTTCTGTCTCAGAAAAACTAAGAAACAGTCTATTGTTGATCCAGTGCTAACACAATAAAGGGGACTCTTAAACTGGAAGCACGAAGGTGAGAGTGCTTTCTTGGACAAACCCCTTGAGTAAACCGAGCCTCACATATAAAGTGAACATGTTCAACTGAACAATTTCAAATTTTGTAATGCTGGGTTGAATCCCATGTCTGGTAAAGGAAGGAAGGAGTCTGCATTAGACTTCTACACTGTAGTAATCTTAACCTGTGAATACATAACTAAGGAAAATGAAAATGCTGGCCTGGGAGATGGTCCAGGCGCCCTCGAGCTTTGGTCTGGACTTGGTTCCTACTGAAGAACTCGAAGATGTACGGCAGCTATCGGGTTAAACTTGGGATCTTCATGGCATCTGAGCTTTAGTGTATACTGGAGTAGCTCCATGGGTTAAGACACATAACAGACCAAGATAATCTCAATTTGAAGCTAACTATATCTTAGGACCAACCAAACTTGGCTTTTATCTATATTCTCTGTACCTACATTGCAAAAAACACCATGTGAGTGGAAAAAAACAAGAGAAAGAGAAGGAAATGTGCAAAAGAGAACTCATCTGCAACACGTGATTCCTTAGGTCTTTGGTCCCTAAGTCATTTATATTGATAAAGTTCTCCAAGACCATAAAAACAGACAATATATAACTGGCTTATTATTTTCTGAATCTTTTGATGAAAACTATTTTTTAAAAAGGCTATTAAATATAAATAAACTCACAGTACGGTAAGTATATTCTAGCTACTAAATTCTTAGGCAAATTTTAAAAGAAAGGAAAATATTATTTACTACCTATATGTCAGGTACTAAATAAGCAAGTTTGCATTAAATGGCTTAGGAAAGTTACATAGTGAGTAACTAATACACATCAGATAGCACACCAGATATCTCTGCATGAAAATATAAGCAAAGATAATCCTGGCTTTTATGCAACTCTGAATGCAACAGAGGAAACAGATCTATATCCGAACTGCAATACAAAGTAAGAGCCATAATAAAGATGTCTATAGCCACTCAGCAAGTATTTATTAAATGCTTTCCATATGCTAATAAGCGCTAGCTGGCAACTGCTATATGGTGATTAAAGGAAATCCTGCTCTCTGCTCTAATGAGCTTACAGTATAGTGAGGAAATCATAAGAAATAAATAAACATGTATAACTAGAAATTGCAGTAAGTATTATACAGATGCTATGTGAGTGAGTAATGGAAAAGAGTGGAACAGCTACTTTAGATTGAAAACCCAACCTCTGAAGGAAATAGAAAAATATCTAAAATAAGAGTTGCCATGGAAACAGCAGGCAAAAAAGTTTTAAACACCTGCAAGAACAGCAAATGTCCTTTAAAAAGAACTCAGTATTTCTGAGCAGATAGGGGTGAACTTTCACTAGAGTTTATCCAGAGGGAAAACCATGTGTGATGACACTGAAGGACTGTGCATAGCTCAGACAGCCTGAGATCACCAAGAAACTAAGAACTCCTAGGCTACACGTTCTAAGTAATACTGGGCATGAGAAGAAGAGCTCATTAAACACAGACAGCCTGGACTGCACCCCAGCAGACACTGGCATTATCAGACTTCGGGGAGTTCTGGAATCTGTATTTTTAAATATCTGCACAACATCTGTCAGCAACCTATCTTTTGGATTTTACTGCTCAGGTATCCCACAGGAGAAAAATTAAATGAAGAGTAGCCCATCCAATTATAAAGCACAATCCCAGAAATTAAAAGCAGCTTATTTGCCTATTTCCACCTAGCACGATAATAACAAACAACCCCAAACAGAACACATTTACACATCCAGAATGCCAGACTAGCCAAAATACCATTACATCTTACTTCTGGCTGTAAGAAGTAATTAATCTGTGTATATTCCCAGAAAAAGAATTTTAACTAAAATCTCTCACTATACTAAGTAGAAATAACAAAAAATTACTAAACATTATTAAGTAACATTTCTAAGCCAATGGTTACCATGTGTTCCCATTTCACAGACATCATGTTCATAACTTCACCATTTTACTTACAAGCAAAGCACTAGAATCTCCATTTAGCTGACTATCATCTCGAGATTTCACATAACGACGATGGTTTTGATAGAAATTAGACAGGCCATAATACATGAACACATTGCCCTAGAAAAAGCGGAAAGGGAAAAATTTTTCATATAAAAACATGTATCATGGATTAGCTTGTTTCACATAGACATAAAAGCTAAATAAGGTGGGCTTTACTGGTTTATCATTGATGATAAAAGATAAGTAAATTCTATAAGTACTTAGCAATGTAAAAATGGTACAATTATAGATAAAATTAAAAAATAAAAGTACTATTTACATTAAAAATAACCCTATTAGCCTCCTCTGAGCTACTTTCAATCTAAAATTTTTTCTGATGAAGACTGCTGTTTATCCAATTAATACCAATTTTTCAGACAGGTAACAGCCAAATTATCATTTACTGTCCAAGTAAATACTAACTGAGTAAGGATATAAAATTTCTCAGTAGAATACTACATATTAGCAATTAATAAACTGGTAATAAAGTATCCTAATAATGAGTCACTATGTAATAATCAAGAGCCAGATGTGGTGCCCCTCGCCTACAATCCCAGCAGGGGATTAAGGTAAAGAATATAAAAATTAATTAAGGCAAAGGCAGGAGGATCGCTGAGGCAGGAGGCTGAGGCAAGGAGGATCGCCGTAAGTTTGAGGCCAGCCTGGGCTACATAAGCAAATTCAAAGCCAGCCCGTACCACACAGTGAGATTCAGTCCCAAAAAACAACAACAAAAATCAAGAAAAGTACTTAAATGTATTTAGAGAGGCCAACTTCAAAGTAACTTAGCAAGAAAGGGTAACTTACACACAGTACAGTTATTTAGATGTTAAGATGCCACCTTGAATGACAAAATTCTCAGAAGTAGCGAAATTATTAAGCTATTTTCTTCCTTCTAATTGTTACCTCTATTGTTTATATTCTTTGCCTTAATTAAAAGGAATCGTTATATTATAAATGCTCTATTTGATTTCCTCTCTCATATATAGCATCATTCAAACTTGATTCATAGGCGTGCGGCGCTTTCCTGTAACCCCAGCACCCTGGGACCCTGAGGCACGAGGATCCTAAGTCGGAGCCTACGCGAAGCAACTCAGTGAGACCCTGTGTCAAAAAAAAAATGTACTAAGGATGTAGCTTAGTGAAAAGGCCCTGAGCTCACTCTCTTAGGGGGCAGGAAGACACACTTGATTTGCAAATGTCACATCATGTAAACTTTCCCATTATATAAAGGAAGTGTTCACATGGAGATTTTTTTAAATTGGGGGCATATCAAAATGATATCACAGGATAACTATGCTCTTTTGGGGGGAAAGGTAGTATTTCAATTAAGAATTAGCATAGGGCTGGACCTGGTGACACACATCCGTAATCCCAGCATGCAGAGGCTGAGGTAAGAGAACTGGTGAGAATGCAAGGCCAGCCTGGGGCCAGTACATTCAGTGCCAGCCTGCACTACATAGTGAAATACCTTAAAAAGGACAGAAAAATAAAATTTAAAAGGCTGGTGCTGTAACTCAGTTCCAGAGTGCTTGTCTAGTATGTGTGAGGCCCTGGGCCTGATCCTTAGTACAACTAAAAAATAAATTAAGAGTATAGTATATTCAATTTGTAAACTGAAGGAAAAAGAGGAGACTGCTTCAGTGAATACGAGACAAAACAACCTACTTTAGGATCACTGAAGTTGCCGAAAGGGTCAGTTTAATTCAAAGTTTGTGAAAAAAATGAAAAATCTACAAAAGAGTGACTCTGAGGTTGATCACATTTGCAGACAAAAGCTCTGAAGCAAGTGTTTTTGAATGGGAGAGGAGACTGATGGGCAGATCTCTGAAATCTTCCCAAGCCTCACTGCTTCAAATGGAGAACGGTTTTCTCCCAAATTAGTTTACACGTTTTCTCCAAAGGCTGCGATCCCGTCCTTATCTTGATGGAAGAGCAACTACAACCACTAGATGGCAGCCATCTCTCAGGAACTGATACATTATCGCTGCCTTTAAAGTATCAGACACAGAAAATCTAAAGAGCTGACATGTATTAAAGCGGTTTTGTTCCCTGCTCAAGTTGTAGATAGAAGACTGCACAAGCTGGTCTTTCTATACCTATTGTGAATCTTTATAATCCTTCAGCATCTGCTCAGCTACTAAAAATGGCAGATTACTCTGGAGAGACAGAGAGAGAGAGAGAGAGAGAGAGAGAGAGAGAGAACTACTTATCAAAATACAAAAAAAAATCAGTAACTTTTAGTGTTTCCTTTTTTGTAATGCCTCATACCTCACAAAAAATAATTCAATTACATAATGGAAGAATTAGTGTGTATTTTCTGAAGTAAAAAGTTTTATAATTGAAAGTATGCAGAACAATGTGAGCAATAATTTTAAAAAGTAAATGGAGTCATAAATGACACAAAACTGATTTATACAATTATAAAATTTTCTAAAGGATAAAATTTCACTTAAATACTGTGAACAAAGTACTAAGTAAACCATTCAAATATATGTGTTTAATTATCAGACACAAAAATGTAGCAGCCAAGCATATTAAACAATTATTTTTAAAAATGTAGATTCCAAACAATTTCAAAACTGCCTTTTGTACCAAAAAAAAAAAAAAAACAACCTAGTGAAACAACAGAACAACATTAGCACTTTTTAAAGCATAGCTCTTCTAACACCTTACTTGGTAACACAGACCTCAAATGCCGTTTCCAGTGTGAAGTTAATGGTGCAAAAGCAAGGTGTCACATTCAGGGACAAGCATTTATTGCACGGACTGGAAGGCTCCGTTCCGGTGTAATCAATCTGTAAGAGAAAATGTAACTAAGCACTTCCTTGGAGAAAGTGGACACCAAAGACAATCTGAAATAACCTGCTATTAAGAGGCAAAATAGCTCCAACGAAGCAACCTTTAGCCCAGACAAAACTGTTTTTAAGGTCATCTGTTTACATCAACAGTGTAAGGTATTAAACACTGAAAAGTGTCCTCAGCTGTTCTACTGGCTAATCTTCACGATCAAAATCCTCTCTCCTTTGTACCAAAGCAAAACATACAAGCATAAACACAAAACTCAAACCATAGGATACATTCACATTAAACAGCTACTAAGTCTAAACTATTATAATTCTGATTAATAGAGATCAGTAAATCAGCTTTTCCTCTTAAATATTAGAACCTTAAACACTTCCAGTCATCTCAGCATTCTGCACACTTTCAAACTTAAAAACAATTAGGTTTTCAGGAGCTACTATTTTTCCAAAACCTAGTACTGAACCTGTCTTCTCTTCATCCTGAGTTCCGACAGGGAGCTTCACCCTGGCGTTCCCCAGGTGACTGGATCATCTCTGTTACACAGAAACCCCTGGAGTCACACCAGAGTTTATGCTAACAGGATGGTTTGGGATGGGGGCTGGTCACTAAAACACCAACTGTGTGCTTAGGGGCTCTGGGCAGGCCCAGCCTCTGGAGAGGGCCTGAGTGTCAGCGTGGCCACTGCACTGTGGGGCGCTCTCTGTGCTGAGAGGGAGAGGACATGCAGACCTCACCCCGAGAGTCTCTTCTGGGACCCCTTTCTCCACCACTCCTACAGGGGGAGGGGTCAGGGCATCCTGGAAAGCCCTGGGCTCGGAGTCCGCTGGGAGCAGCTGGCAGGAAGTGTGGGGGACCCAGACTGGATCTGTAGCTGACCTAGGGGCGCTCCTGGGTACCGCGCCTTTAAACTGCTAACTCAGGATGCTCAGAGTCAGCACTCAATTGCGCTACCACAGAGAGGGGCAACAGGTAGTAACTGACCGGGGTTTTCACTGAAAAGAAGGACTTGAACAGACCCATCAAAGATGGGTGAAGCAGAGAAAGGGGCGCCATTAGAAAAGAAATAAGGAATAAAATACAAGGCACATGTAAGGACAGTGAGCATGAACAGTCTGGATTTACAGCAAGTTTATACTGGAAGAAAATGCAACAAGGATAAGAAGGTAAACTGGAGCCACAAATGACAAACCATGTGTTACTGACTACTGTTACCAAATGCATACTGAGTGTACACAGGCAGTGCGAGCATTCAATACACATCATCTCACTTAAAAAGTGCAATGGCCCTGCCACGTTTGTTTTTATTTTCCTTATCCTAAACTAGGGCAGAGTCGGGGGTAGCTCAGTGGAACGGCAAGTGGTTAGGATGAACAAAGCCCTGGGTTCAATTGCTAGTACCCCCTCCAAAAATGAAAAAAGAAAAGAAGAGAAGGTGGAGGAGGCAGAGGAAGAAGGGAATGAGGAGGAAAGGCAGGAGGAGGGGGAAGTGGGGAGGGGAAGGATAGGGGGACGGGGAGGAGAGGCTGTGGGTATGAAACTCACTTGGAAAGGTTTGGTCATTTTCCAAAAATCACTCACCTAGTTACTCTGAGCCAGAGTCTGAACCCAGCCCTCCCAGTTTCCAACACCCATGCTCTTCTCCCCATCTCCCCTCTCACACAATGGTCCTGCCCTTTCTGACAGATGAACTCAGGACCCTCAGATCGTAAGAATGAAGAGAAACCTCTAATGAGCAGTTGAACTTTCTTCTTTTCTTATTAAGCTGCCTGCATCCAAATATACTTGCAAGTATTGTGGAATTCTCCTCTATGAAAACTTTGGAAGGACACAGAGCTCTACTTTTCAATTCAGAAGCTTACGAGAGAAAGGGGTCCTTTCTCCCTGAGCCCATGGGCACAAGATCTGGACTTAGCAACCAGACGCTCCCACACAAACCATTAGATCCTGCGAGGCAAAGGCCGGAGTGCCTATGATTCCATCAGCAGCCAGGGCGACAGCAGCAGCCGCAGCACCCTGCAGCCTGTTCGTGCTTTCAAAGCTCCCCCCGCTTCCCTGTCTCCAGACCGGATTTCTTGTACTCCTATCCAAGCCCCTCCCCATCAATTCTCTGAACTAAGTAACTGAGTCACATTTAGTAACCTGAATGTCCTGCAGGGTAAACAAGGGACTAAAGAGACTCTCTAGAAGAATAACAACACTAAGTAACACACAACAGAATACGTCAGTCTAGGAAATGGAGACTGCCTGTCTTCCTGAATGCCCCATCACAAATAAGCACTCATTCACCTAACATTAAGGAATGCCGGGATGGTCCAGGCATTGAGGATTCAGCGTGGCACCCGTGCACCCACAGCTCAGCATCTAACATAGACATACATCAGTCATTAAAATGCAGTGGCTATCTCGGGACAAGCACCATGGAAACAATCTAGTCTAGTCGTCAGCAAGTTTCTCCAAATCTTACCCACACGAGACAGCACAGGACAAAGCAATGCATCTCTGAATGAGGGCCTAGCACCTAAAAAATAGACCCAAAAGGTACATGAATTTAGGACTTCAAATAAAGTTCTGAATGAGAGATAAAGATCTCAAAATCAACCAGGAGTTCTTCAGATATCTAATCCTTTTTCAGCATAATTCATAAAACTGGCCATCAAAGTAAAAATTTAAGTCTGGGGGCAGGGTGGAATTAGATTACACAGTACAAACTAAAGGTCTTGTAACTTTAGGCCACTGTAACCTACAACAATGTGGCTTTCCTGCCCAGAAATGGACAGACAAAATGGATAGCACTGGAGAGAACCATCCCAGCCCACTCCTGGTAACAGAACACTGAAAGCAAACAGATTCCTGGTAGTAACAGCATAGAAAGTGTCCAGTGGTAGCAACCATCTTATAGATACTGGCACCCATGTGAGGAACAGAACTGCAGCCACAACAAGCTCATTCCAGAGACATCGGGTACAGCAGACATCAGGCTAACATTAACCTGCCCCAGGTAACAACACAGAACTAGTTTTATGAGTTTATGAGTTTTATGATATCACAGCAGCAAACTTCTCTGCTTTGTCACTGAGAAAGCTGGTTCTAGAGAACCAAGTAATTGTCCATGCTCTTCCCTCAGAGGAAATAACATGAATTACACTGCTTCCTACAGAAGACTCAAAATAAGTCATGACTCGAGACCCCACCCGTCTCTCAGGAGCTATTCCTATTCCCCAATAGGTCTTTCCCACTCCTAACCTCCTTTGTCCTTTGGAACTTACTCTTCGATTTCAGGGGACACAAACTCAGTCCATCTGATAGCAAGCAGGTGTCAGGAGTTGTAGCCCTCCTGTATCATCCGGAGGCACCACTGAGATCTCTGGAAGGAGACATGAATTTCCTTTTGATTCATGGTACCCCTAAGTATTTTAACTGCACCGTGACTCATTCAGGTAATGAAAATTGTCATCTTGCGTGTCAGTTGCTTGTGCCTTGTCTTTTTGTTAAAGTGGTAAAAGGTTCAGGCTGAGAATGTGTGGAGGTTATGATGTTTCTCTGTTTCTTTGATGGGACATTTTATTTTTGCAGCCAGGGCCCTGTATTTCTGTTTTGTATATGCTCTATTTTTACTAATTGGGGAATTTACTTGTATTCCTTACTCCACTTGTTTGATGGTTACAAGATAGTTTGTCGTCTTATTTTAGACAGCGGCGCTGGGAAAAGATAATGTTAGCGCTCCCCTAGGGGACTTTAAAACTTTAATAACAATTTAAAAAAATATATATTAAAGAATAACCATGCCCCTAGTCCCCAGAGAACTGCCTCTCTCTTGTCACGATTTCCTTCCAGAATATCTTGCCAGGCTACCCATCATTCTTTGAGGCATCCTAACTGAGGTTATAGCTAAATACAGTCCAAGGGTCACAAGATCACAAGGAAGGGAGCCCAGGCACACAGTAAGAGTGGCTAACCTGGTTCTGGCCATTTCCTCAAACTCCCAGTTCCTGCTGCTGGCACTGGACAGGATGAAAGCTAAGGGATGCCTCAGAATGGGCGTAGAGCAATTGGGCAGACAGGGATGGCTTCTCTCCCCGATTCTTTCAAAATTAGAAGAAACTGTCCTGGACAGACATCTGTGCCAGGGCACAGTGGAGCCTTGGCAGGCCTTCTTCACCCACTGTTTGGAATACACACTTAGCTCCAAACAGTGTCACCTAGTCTCCTTCTACACCCAAACCTGACCTGAGCAGTCCTCCGGAAATAGTTAAATCACTTGATAAGAGTAAAGGTGTCCTTAAAGTTAGTAATATACTTCTATCCAGGATGTTAGGTAACCAAGAGAATATCAAAATATCTTTACCAGCCTGTCCCTTGGAGGGTACAGTTACATGTGGGTATAAGACAGCAGTTTTGACTATCACTTGTGGCTATCAAAACAAAAACAAGAAGCCTGTATAGCTGGCTATTCCAATAAGATAAACCATCAGCCTAAAGCCCATCTTAAAAACACTCTTTGGTTTCACAGGTGTAAAAGGTTTTTCTTTCTGATTCTTATTACAAGGGATCTCTTTTAATTGACCTATAAAAAGTTCTGACTGGTCCATTATAGTTACAAAGCTAAAACTGTAAAAGTGTTATCGTAGGTCAATTTGGCCACATACATTTGAGAATGTAAATGTAATCATCCTATGGATGTCCACCTGTTCAATGTGTATTAATAACTGGTTAAAACACCGGTAGCTGCTTTAAGAAAAGTATTTTTTTAGCTCAGCAATCATTTCTTTTTTTTTGGCTCCTTTTGAGATTTCCATGGAAAACCATTTCTATAGGTTTTTGGGGTAGCCAAACTCATTTAAAATATTACCAGATAAAGACTGACAAACTCGAGGCATATACAGGAATAAAAAACCTTAAAGTCTGATAACATAAAGGTTGCATGTGATTTAGGTTAGTATGTGGGTTTCTGGTGTGCTAATGTTTAAGTATACATCACCCTCCAAAAGTTTTA